CCAGATATTCCACGGGAGTTAATAAGTCAATGTCCCTGAGCTCTGGATTGTGCTTGAGTGTGCTTACCTAAGCAGACAGTCTGGGAACTGAGCAAGGGTTCAGGCAAGGACACTTTAGTCTGTGGCTTCAGACCAGAAAGATGAGGGCAATGGGGAGGGGCTTCGGAGGAAATGAGTGTGTATCTGAGATGCACTTTCATCAGGGCCTACTGCTGTCCTCGGAGCCCACTACAATATTATGTAAACATAACTGACTATAATTTTAATGAACAGTCTTCTGTTCTTATTAATTTCCATTTTCATTCTATCTTATTTTTGAGTGTGAAGTTTTATTAAAGGGGTGTGGAGTGTGGAAGAGTGGGGAGGGAGACAGTGAGAGAAAGAGAAAGAAAGAGAGGATAGAAAAGGAGAGAGAAGAAGGAAAGGGGGAGACCGAAAGCTGCCTCTTCAGAAGAATGGCAGAGAGAGAGAGAGAGAGAGAGAGAGAGAGAGAGAGAGAGAGAGAGAGAGAGAGAGAGAGGGGGGGGGGGAGAGAGCCTTCATTATATCTTTTGACAACAATAAAAATTTACGTAATGATTAAAGTTCATAAAAACTTAATTTTCTTTCAGAAACAGAAAAAATGTCTAAGATTGCCAAAAGATTTAGCAAGAATTTAATGGCACATGATAAGGTTATAGACAATGAAAAATAAAAAAGGTGAGTTCTGTATTTAAAAATTAGATTTGTATGGCCAAGAGGAGGAAAGAGAACAGTATCTTCCATTGTAGCAAAATGTTATTTTCGTTTATTGTTATTTAAATTAACATGAAACATAATGGTGTTCTAAGAATTAAATTTGTAATTTCAGATAAAACAGATTAAATATATAATGACCATGGTTGCTTCAAACTTCAAACTTTGTTCTCTCCATTGTCTGAGGAGGAAGACTATATACAAAGACAGAGAGGTAAACGGTCAAGGAAAGGAAGGGGTCACCAAAGAGAGGCAGAGCCTCCAAAGAAACAAGGGACACTGAAGACAGCTGGTAGCCATGATCTGAACTGATGAAAAAGTGGGAAAAAAAATCACTCCCTACAACCTTCAGCGGAAGCATGTCCTGTGGACACCTTAATTTCAGACTGCAGTCTTGTGGAACGCTGATAGACTCCATCTCAGATGGTGCAGTTTGCTGTGGCAGCCTCAAGAAGCTGGTCCACCTGCTGCACTGACTCCATCTGGGACTCCCTTCTGCTTCTTATCTCTGTTCCTGTTGCTTTAAAGGTCCCCAGAGGAAATGATTTTCCTTGGAGACAAATCAGAGGTCCCATTGAAATGTAAGCTATAGTTCCTGGCATCTGCCTATCGCCTATCGATGAAGCTATTGTGACCTTATGGAAAGAGGAAGCCAGGTGAAGTGCTGAGGTCCTCTTGGGGCTTCCTTGTCTGAAAGTTATGGTAAACAGATGAGGCCAGCAGTCCTACTCTAAAAGGAGCGGAGGTTAGGAGTCCAAGTCCCCAAGGGATGAAAGTCTGGTTGTGATACTGATCATTGATAGAAACCAGCAGAGGGGCAAGTTCCAAAATAAAGTAGTCTGAGAGCAGGCCACAGACTGCTCACTGTAGTCCACACAATGAGAAGGAAGAATCTGTCGAAGGTTTAAAATGAGCTACAGGAGATAGGGTTGCAGCTTGTCCCAATAACCAGGTTCTTCTGAATGCTGTCTCCTTGAAGGAAGGGAAGCTGCCCAGAGTCCCCCAGGAGCCTCTTGCAGTTCTTGTAAAAAGAGAAGATGTGAGGGACACAAAAGCACAGGCTACAGAAGATGCTCTAGGAGCTGCCACACAAATGCCTTTAAGAAATAGGCATTTGTGCTCCACCTCCCAGTGATTCCGTATTGATGGCTGTGGTGTGGGGCTGGGCGTGGGCACTTTCTAAAATCTTTCCAGGATGACACTGTGTAGCCCACATTGACTACTGCTGCCAGAGCCATGAAAATAAGTCGGCCGAGGGGGGAACAGAGTATTGATTCTCTGAGTGCTATTCAACCAGGAGCTGTCCAACCTCCCTCTCCCTAAGGGTCTGGTCCAGGAACTCATCCACACTAATCTGTGTAGCCTATAAGGAAGCATGCATTGTAGAAGGAAGATTATCTTAAAGAGATCTTTGCCTCCAAGCACTGTGAATGTTTTTTGTGCCAACTTTCCGGCCAGGCCCTGTGCCTTGTTTTGGAAATCAGTTCCACTTTGGTTTGCCTAGTTACTGTTCCGAAGCTGTGGCTTCCTGTAATACACCCTTACATCTGACCTTGCCCACTTCCGGCCCTTAGGAGGAAGAGAGCAATATCCTTGCTTCTGCTACCCTGGGCCATGCTAAGGGCTGACACTGAGGAACCCCCAGGAAATTTTCACATTCACAGATTTTTTTTCTATATTTTAAGTAGCTAGTGAAGAGCCATAAACCCTTCAAATAATGTTTATCCCAGGGAAAGACCATTTCTTTCATTTAGCATCACTTTCAATCACAAAACTGGGTCATTCTCTGCTCAGAGTGAGTCTGGACCTCGCCGGCTTCTGTCAGAACACGGAGAGATAAAATGACGGCACACAGGAGCCTTGTGACTACAGAGGCATTTTGCCACTTCTTTAAAGGAACAACTTTATCACGGGCAGATTTTTAATAAAATCAGCTGTTTCCAGTCTTCCCTTCTGTGGCCTTGAACATAGATCCTGCCCCTTTTGGTTTTCTGGGACAGCTGTGTAGGTGTATGTAGCTCTGGCTGCCCTGGAACTCGCTCTGTAGAACAGGCAGGCCAGGCAAGTAACACCACCCAGCGAAGTTTGCTTCTCTTATGTTACTTCTAGGAGTTATGAAAGCCAAATGTTTACTGAAGATTTCTTAAATTACTTTTCAAAGCAACTGATTTATTTTTCAATCTGCTTTTGCAAAATTTATAAAAAGAAAAGTTACTTACAAAATAATCTTTACCCTCCACACATTTGCAATGGACTCTGATTATTCAGTTATTGGAGGTGGATGTGTCACGAAGGGAATGTTTTTTAAAAGAAATATTTAGTGCCATCTGTCATCTCAGTAATGGTTTCAATGACAAAATTTTTAAAAAGACAGAAAAACAGCTGGCAAGATGGCTCTCTGGGTAAAGACGCTTGTGACTCAGTGGTGCAAGCCTGATCTTTTGTGTGATCTGTCTCTGTGTGTATGTGTGTCTCTCTGTCTCTTTCTCCATGTATGTGTGTCTCTACCTCTCTGTGTCTCTACTCTCTGTCTCTCAGAGCAAAAGAAAAACAAAGAAAGATACAGAGTCCTTAAGAACTGTACACTCAATTAAAACTATAAAAATGAACTCTCTGGTCCAGCATTCTCCGTCTTATCCATCTCTATGGGGACTTTTTGTGGGATATTTGATCACACTGTGTGAAAGATGCCTCTTGATTGGTTAGTAAAGAGCTGAATGGCCAATAGCTAGGCAGTAGAGGTTAGGCAGGACTTCCAGGCAGAGAGAGGAACTCAGGATGATGAATCTAGGTACATAGGAGACCCTAGAGATACACTGTGATCAGACATATAAACGGAAGAAGTAAAAACCCACATGGCAGAACAAGGATTAATAGAAACAGGTTAATTTAAATTACAAGAGCTAGTTGGGAACAAGCCTAAGCTATAGGCCAAGCTTTCATAATTAATAATAAGTCTCTATCTTATTAGAGAGCTGGCAGTCGCAAAGTAAGTCTCACTACAGGGACTTCTGACATTTTTCAGGTGAATCTCAAATATTTCCAAAGATCTACTTTTGGTCATTGTTTCCTTTCCTTTTTCATTTTCTTTCTTATAGACTATTGACAACATTGACCTTACCTATCATACACCTCCAAAAGAAAATTAAAATGCTGACTACAAACTCATTAAAAAATCACAGAATTGTCCCTTTGAGGGGAATCAGTTTGGAAACCTGAAGGAGAACAACCTATATTTTAAAAACCAGACTTTCATTTTAGTACATATGTTATATAAAGCAAAATTTCCACTTGTTGCATACCTGGCTTTCGTATGTCTGGTCATATGTGATGCTGGTTGATTCTTTGTCTATTCTGTTCATTTTTTATCAGACTATTAAAGTACACAGTAAATAAAGCAGGCCTTGAAAGCTCAAAGAGAGAAAACTGGAATTTTCTAGGGCACCACTCAGAAACTGACATACTCCGGCACATTCATTTTAGGAGGTAGGGGGCTATTCCTAAACTAAGAGAGACCACACAGTAACGTGAATGTCTGGTCTTTTCTGGACACCCAGAAGCTTCTCTGCAAATTCATAGCAAGAACTTTCATTCTCATATTTTTCTGAATTTCTTCCACTGCAGATGTCATTCACTGATTTACTTACAGGAGAAAGAAAATGATCAAGAATACACATTTTCTCACAAAAACTGACATAAGCAATAACAAAAGATATCCATTTGTTCAGCTAGCAACATAGAAAATGTTTAGTATGCATATACATTTGTGAATATATACATAACAGAAGCCGGAGGAAAACAGTATGTATGTTTAATTTGTTTTCAAGCAAAGTCTCACTGTATAGCCCAAACTGGTCTCAAATTAGCATCCTTTTTGCCTTGGTTTCCTGAATGCTGGGACTATAAGCATGCACCATCACACCCAGCAGAAATACACTGGTTAACACTTTCTATGTCATATGGTAGGCTAGCCATTTGATTTTTTCTGTTATACTTTATTTAACCAATCCAATCAGTTTAATTTACCATTATCTCTTTGAATTACTTAAATTGCTTCTTTATCTTATAAAATGCTCCAATTCTATTTGATGAATATATTTAAATCAAACACTCTTAACAAACACTCCCAGAAACAATCATATTACCTGAAAATTATATTTTTCTCAAATTAGTGAAAAATTCACTGCTAACATTAAATGTACTTAAAATATTAATAAAGATAAAATTGTTTACATACCCAAAAGCTGAAAAGGAAAACAGCTCACCTTGTGAAAAGAGAACAGGGTGAATTTTAAAGCCTCCTCCATTCTTCAACCGTTGAGGCAGTTGCTCAAAATGGTAGCTATCAATGTAGAAGTAAACCTTCAGGGCCTGGCGGCTTCCTTCCACTTGGTACGTAAGAGGGACATCTGAAGTGACATTAAATCCCATATTACTTACTGTAGTCAAGTATATGCTGGACAGTACATTTGGATTATGTCAGTAATATGTTAAACTTTTACAAAAAAAATTCCTGAAATTTACCACAAAGTAATACAGTAAGAGTGTTCCAAAGTGTAAGCCCTTCAAGACATGCAAATGGCCAGGCTCTCACCCCAACCCCCAACCCTGCCAGACTACTCTTAATGGCCATGAAGTCCATTTACAGCCCCTGGAGATGCAAAAAGCCCAAGACCAGGCCACACAATCCCACAAATCCCTGAGTTTGCCCGAAGATCAGTTCATAAAACCCCACCAACCCAGGTCATGGAAAGCTATGCTCCACAAGAAACCCTAGACTGCCTGCCTCTTGCTCAGTTCATAGCTGCTTCTTGCCTAAGCAGAGGCAACCACCCTCTTGTGTCTTTCCCAATCAATCTCTTGTGTAAGGTTTGTTGTGTGTTGTGACTTTTTGGTACTCCTTGACTCCTGCCTGCCAGGATGTCTTTTCCCTCAGAGTTGCAACACTTGCATTAGGAAAGCCTTTCTCCTCAGAGTTGGAATGCTTACACTGGACATCAGGCCCATGTGGCACACAAAGTGCCGTTCTGTCAAACAGTACTGAATCAGAGTTCCACTAGCTAAAGACATGGGTTTATTACTGAACTGAGTATCAGATTCTGTAACGGGGAACTTGGTTACACTCTGACACACCAGATGTCTCACATAACTAGGAAAGAATCTCTCAGGACAGCTGCCTCATTCATAAGTAGTCAAAATGAGCCCACAGAGCACACTCCTTAAGTATATGTGAGGAAAAGGACTGCATAGCAACCATTAGCAAAATGAGCATGGGTTTTGTAAGCTCTGCTCCCTGAGCACCACATTAAAATGAACCATGTTCTGCTGAGGATGCCTTATGGTCATTAGAAATTATCTTTCCAAATTCTTGGAGCTACTTTTAAATACTCTAAAATTAATGGCTTTAAAAAAAATCAGCAAATGTGATTGGCTAAAATGCTGTGGGAACATTTCATGGTGCAACTGTAAGTCATTTTCTTTCCATGTGAATCCACAATATTTCTACCCCATTAAAAAAGAATATAAAATCATTCTGAAAATACTCAAATTAGAACACTGCTGCTAACTAGTTAAAAATTAAGAGCAAGACATAGCAGGTCTTCCTGATTCAACATAATGCATCTTCCTGATTCAACATTAGCTGATGTGGGAGTGTCATATATCAATCTGTTGATTTCATTGGTTAAGTAATAAACCAACTGCTTGGCCTCATAGCTTAGAACATAGATGGGAGGAGAAAACAGAATAGAATTCTGGGCGGAAAAGGAAGTGAGGTCAGACTCTGCTCTGCTCCCGAAGAGACGCCATGCTCAGCTCTCCCGGGTAGATGCGATAGCTCTGCTCTCTGAGGCACATGCGATGAAGATGGACATAGGCTAGAATCTTCCTGGTAAGCGCACCTTGGGGTGCTTACACACATCATTAGAAATGGGCTAGTCCAGGTGCGAGAATTAGCCTGTAAGGGCTAGAGTTCATGGGCCAAGCAGTTCTTAAATGAATACAGTTTGTGTGTTGTTATTTCGGGCATGAGCTAGCCAAGCGGCCGGGGTGTTGGGGATGCAGCCCCACCGCCGCTTCTTATTTCAACAATTAGCACTTCAAGCTGCCATCCTGGAACTGATACTGAGTTCAAGTTCAAAGGGATTTACCACACGAATGACAACCTCCCTCTTTATCACTGAATTGTATATCTAGGCAAAGGAGCTATGGCAGCACTGGTCACCAGCTTCCCTTATGCCACCTCATAAAGCTTATTTTATTTCTGTAACTTTTCATAGAGAGACATTGGTGCTTTAATTTAGAAACCAGAAAAATGAGTTTTTGAACTGAAGATTCAGAAGAAAGCCCTTTCATAATTGGAATTTTTTATTTTTGGTTGTTAAAATTAAAAAAAAACAAAGCCAAAAACAACATTAAGAAGAAAAAAAGCATGGTGGTTTACACATGCAGAGGAAGATTGTGGAGTTCTAGCCTAGCCTGTGCTACAGAGAAAGAGAAGAGGGAAGATGAAGAGAGGTAGATATAGAGATAAAAAGAGGTAAAAAGAGAGACATAGAGATAGACAGAAAGACAGATGACAGAGATAGAGACACAGATAGAAGGAAGAAAATAAATTTATACCTGCTAAATATTTATATATTCTACTTTCTTCATATGCTATCATATATGTCCATGATTATTAAACTGTATGCATTTAGTCTTTGTCATCAAGGTAGTAAAGTCATGTCAAGTGGATAATGTTACTGAAAGGATGACAATGACGTCATAGACAGCTATATTTTAAACTGACAGAAAGCAAAGGTAAAAGGGAATTAAGGAAGTAATTCTTAAGAATTGGAACATCTTGTTTACAGTAAAGTAATAAAAACTCAAGACTACTTGAAAGGAATGGAAACAGTTTTCCTGTGCACAATTCTCATGGACATAGGAACTACCCAAGAATACTCCAATCAAATCTGGTATATAACTAACTATATACCACTATTCAGTAGGATTTACACAAGGTCTGCAAAATAAATTCATGTAATCCCTTGTATATACTGACAAAATAATAAAAATAAAGCCCACCTACGTAATCCTGACAGCATACAGGGAAAGCATTTAACAAAATGTAACATGAACGCATGAAAAAATGTTTTCAGTCAATAGGTTAAAGAAAATGGACCTCCACCATATGATAAAATACATATAAAGCTATAGCTAACATCGTAGTTGATTGTAAGAAGCTACGATTGCCCATTAAGTCAGGAGCAAGAACGATGACCTCTCTCACCCCCGCTCCTTTTCAATGCTGCACTAGCAGTTCCCACTAAGACAGCCATAGAAGAAAAGGACGTGAAAACACTCCTCAAGAGAGGAGCAAACTTTTGTTTACAGATTAGATGCTCAAAGATGGGAGACAAATCTGAGATCAACAACATTCTCTGAAAATAATATATGTATATATCAAAGACGCAAGAGACAAAGATGATATAAAAATACAACTATTTCCCTATATATTAGCAATAAACAAGTAAAACACAAAGTTAAAAACAGACTACCATTTGTACTAGCCACCTCTAAAATGAGATACATATAAATATACTAAAATATGTATAATATTTATGTGAGAAAAATAAAATTTCTGACAAATACAAAACAAAAAAATTAAGAAATAAATGGGAAACTAGTCTATGTTCATGGTTAATAGGAGCCATTATGGTCCAGATGTTATTTATTCCTGATTTGATAGACAGTTTTCATGAAAATTCTTCAAATCTGAAGGAATTCATGGATATCAACAAAATGATTCCAAAGTTCACACAATGAGGAAAGAGACTGAGAACAACTAACACAGAGCTGAGGAAGAAAAGTAGAGGAAAAAAAGTAGGGACTGTCCGACTCCATGTCTCACTCCACAGGTACAATGTGCCTGTAAATTAAGACAATGTGCAGCTGGACAGAAAACAGACAGCAGCTGAGTGGAACCCCAGTCTAGTAATGTGTGAGCTAGTCCCATGTGAGCCGCCGATTTATCCTGACAAAGGAGTAAAGGTAACATGATAGGTTTTTCATCCCCCTGGTTTTGAAACAATTGGGCATGTACACATAAAAAGAATCTTGACATAGTGCTCATCCACTCATAAGATTAATTCAAAGTAGGTAAAAAAAAAAAACTGAAGTAGAAAGTATGAAACTATGTAACTCCTAGAAGATAGCACAGGAGAAAGCCATGATCATGGAGGATGCCATCTTAGAAATAGCACTAAAGGCACAGCCAATGAAAGAAATCCTGTCATCTAGACTGTAGCAACACTAAATCTGAGCTCTATGGAAGATGAGGCCAGCACAATGTGACGATGAGCATACAGCTAGGAGAAGGGATCTGTAGAGGACACATGAATAAAGAAAGGACTAGCTCTCAGAATATACGAGGAACTCGGCAAACACAAAACGAGGAAACTAGAAAAGTGTTTTTAAACACGCAGAATAACATGGAACTGAAATCCACCACTGCTTTTCTTGCAGAAGGCCATCTTCTATGGAAAACAAACTTATTTTGAGAGGAATGTAAGTGATCAACAGCTTGGAACCAATGCAAGCTGAGTGAGGGAACTTCCTATGGCAACTCACCCTAGGAAAGAGCCACCATGGCTTCATCCCTGAAGATATGACACCAGATCAGTGAATGGGATATGTGAATTTATAAGTAAGTTTTGCTTTAAAAATTGATACTTTAGCCTGTTTAGATTGTCTCTCTCTAAGCGTTTCCAAGTCTTTGTCTTCCTTCAGATCTATTTAAAGCTGCCATTATGGGATGTTTTCTGAAGTCAGCCCTGAAAAGGCCAAATTACCCTCTTGGTTTATGCATCTTTATTTCGTTGTATGGTCTATCTACCTCTGTAGTCAACTCATCATTATGTCTCATCTTGGTCATCAACATCATGGACCCATGTCTATTTCATCCATTATGGGACCCATAGCTCCAGACACAATAGTTGACCCATATGAAGACACTGGGGGTTTTCAAGTACTCACTTGTCTAATAACCACCTTAAGATTAACAGTATCATGATTATAAAGGAGATGTTTTTTTTTTATTTGCCTAAAAGCAAGTGTAAGAGAATGGCTTCAAATATTGATTACAACCATGTAACACTTGAGGATTTCAACACATTGTCTTATTTAAAACACCCAGCTCTGAGCTTGGAAAAACCTAATGTCTTCATTGGCACACTGATTGATGAGAATGGATCCAGAATTTGAATTCAGGGTCTAGATAAAAGTGAATGGTTTCTTCTACCTTCCTTCTCTCTGCACCCTGTCCTCTCTCCAGAGGTGTGCAGCCAACCTGTCTCTATACCAGCCATGCAGCCTTTATTAGCCATCCTGACACATCTGCTCCTACACAGATGGAGAGATGAAACTACATGCCATGAATCTGAACAAGCTCTAACCTTCTTCTACCACTGAAGTAAGACTTGATGGACCTCGGGTGTCAGGTTTCACAATGAGAACTCTCTCCAGTCATCACTTCCCCATCCCACAGTCTGGAAAACAGAATGGATGCACACTGCAGCACTCCCTGGGACATAGCTAGGAAGTGCTTCTGTTTATGATTTTATTGATTCTGATTTATGGTTCTAACTAGTATCTGGTTCCTCCACACTCTTTGTCAAGTATGCTATCCCAGACTAAACTGCATGGTATAAAACTTTCCATTAGCCCCCGAAACTTATAAAAGCCAGCTACTACCCTTTGTTCTGGGTAACCTTTGTACTGGTGACTCTGAAGGCCCCTCTATTCTCGCTCAACCATCTCTTATGGTGGCTTTATCTTTCTTCTTCTCACTGTGACTGGCTAGCCTCACAGTTACTATGTGAAAGAGGCTTGGAAGAACTTACAGAAATGCACCTCTGTCTCTAGAGTTCTTCCTCTATAGCACGTGGGTCAAAGTGTGTACCTGACTAAAAAATCTCTAAATGAAGCTCTGGTCAATTTTATGAGGAAGTTTCTCCTTCCTTTAAGGTCAAGGTCATGTTGTTTTAATGCTATTCTACTCTTCTAATCAATGCTCTCCCTCAAGGTTCAATCGTGCTTTCCAGGCTTCTTCTCCTCATACACTTTATTTCCGAATGGTTATGTGTCAACTCCTTTCCCAAACCTACAATGACTGCTCTTTATTTTTATGTTTAATGGTGGAGTCATGTGGCATTGAAATTGGTGTCTTACTAGGGAACTACCTTCAGGAGTCCAGGCTATGCCCCAAAGAGACGCATAAAGCACATTGCTAAACACCACCGTCATGAGTGCTTTGTCATGAGCACAGCCATATTTAAACTCTAACTTTTCCTTAGGGGATCACAATTACCTTTAATGTTTGGAATGTGTCCAACACATCAATGTCTCTTACCGTGGATTAAAAAAAAAATCACTCACAGAGCCCTCCCCTGCTTCCTCGGTTGTCAAAAATGTCACTTTGAAAGCACAGAGGGCAATGAATGCCTATGAGAGCTTATAGCTCCTCAAGCAGCATGTTTAGAGAATTAACAGCATTAGGTAACATCACAGAATTGTTTTCTCAGCCTTCAGCAAAACTATGCTCAGTCTTCAAGTAAAACTAAATGTCCTTCTATTTCTATACATGCAAGGTGAAACCTTACAATTTATCTAAAATTTTGTTTTTAATCAAAATTTACCACACATTTTGCCAGATAACAATTGTCTCTCAGGTATCAGTAACTTACACTTCCATATTCTTGGTCTTTTTGTTTATAAGTGGAAATGAACATTAGTGGCAATTCTATAATTAACTATATACTACATTGATATTTTTAATTTTACTATCCCCACAGATTTCCTCACATCCAAGTCACTGTGATTTCTCTCTTAGGTCACTCCAGAGCTTCTTAAGTGGTCTATGAGTTTCTGCCCATCCTCAGAATGGTATATGTAACACAGCAGACAGAGGCATCACTTTGGCTACGTAAATCAGGTCTTGCTGTTCACTTGAAACCAGGAACATGGAGATATCTCAATAGTAGGAATCCCTACAAGGTCTTATTTCCTATTTGATGTCATACTCTGTTTTCTTTGCTTGCTCTCCCATGGCCAAGAAAGGCTGGCGTGTTGCTCTAAGAACATGTCTCACAGCCTCCTGCCTGAGAGTTGATGAAGCCTGACAAACTATCTCCCACTATCTGTGTGACTCTCTCAGCCCCTACAGAGGTCTGCTCTCCTAGACCAGAGGCCCTCCCCACCCTGCTAACAGCATCTTTTCCTCTGCTCCTTCATCTTTATATTCTGATCTACTTTACTGTTACTTTTAACTTAACAAATTAATCTGTTTTTCTAACCTGTCATTTTCTTTCCTCACCTCCATTTCTAACCCACAGAAGACACCATCTGCTCAGAACTCTTTTGAACCTCATACCCAGAATAATTCTGGCAAGAAGTAAGCATTCAAATGAAGTTTTTGATGAGACAACTGAAAGAATGATTATCATTTCATCAAGCTACGGATTTGAAGTGTGCACTTATTAAGCCTCTATCTATTATACTAGCCTCTGGGAAGGGCCATAAGAACACCTCCCATCTCTGAAGACACTTATAGCTTCTATTAAAATACACAGGATCCAAACACTTGTGAAAAACAAGAAGCAAACAAAACTGTTTTTAAAGATAAACTGTAGATTTTTTGGACTGGAAGGCATCTTATTGTTATATTAAACATTTATACAAGATTGAAATCAAAGAAAAAATGGTAATTTGCAAAATTTAAAGACATGAACATTAATCCATAGGTTCACTACATAACAAGTACTATTTCTTAAGTATGACTTCTAAAATACAGCCTGTCAGCACTAATGTTGGAAAATGTTGAAGGCAAAGAAACCCTTTTCAATCATTCAACTCATGTAACTCTATGCACATCAAAAGATGGCATCATCTGCCACCAGCAGCATCCTGTAGACACATCGTTACTCACTTGCAACCAGGGGCTCCTCTTCTGATGGTTTGAAGAAAAAGGAAACTTTTTCCAAATCAAATAGCGCTACCAGTGTATCCTCTAGCATGGCTTGTTCATCTTTCTACAATGAAGAGAAAGAATCTATCAGATGACCGAACAATGCACTGTCAGATCCCATGGCACAATGTAAATGCAAACAAGAATCCTTTCCCTTCTGTTTTATTGCATAGAAAACATTGGTGCCAACACATTCCTGAAAACTCTGTACAAAATGAAATCAAGAAGTCCTACATAGTGACATGTTCCTTGTATGGTTTTATCATTTTCTGATTTTGTATTTTTTCAATATATAAATGATTATATACATAATATTCAATCTAGCTTATAGATAGAATCTAATCATAATGATCTCATTCACAAATAATATATGCTTTTGGCCTTTTACTTCTAAAAGCTCACAAAGTAACAGATAGGAAGCAAAAAAAAGCCATTAATTTTAAGTTCAAAACAAATTAAATCACAATCATCCTTTTTTATAATAATTTATTCATTGTTCAATCACTACTTATTAAAACCATGATAAAAGCAGTTTCCATGTACAGATACATTTGTCTTCCAAAGAGATTATATACAAATACCATGCTCTCTCACTTTTCACCTTTGAGTCAAGGTCTCTTTACTGAACTTGAAGCATGCCCACCTAGCAAATCTGGATCTTGCCCAACTAGCAAATCTGGAACTCACCCAACTAGCAAATCTGGAGCTCACCCAACTAGCAGGTCTAGAGTTCACCCAACTAGCAAGTCTGGAGCTTGCCCAACTAGCAAGTTCTAGAGACCTCCCTTCCTATCTCTCCCCCACTACAGAATTAGAGTTACAGACATGCAAGGGAGCACGAGCAGTTTTGAACAGTTTTGTTGTTGGTTGGTTGGTTTTGGTTTCAGCTTTTATGTGAAATGTGGGTGCTGAGAATTCCAACTCAGGTCCTCAGGTCCACACGGCAGGAGCTCTCACCCACTGAACCATCTCCCAAAGCCCTAAACTCCCGTGGAAGTAGTAGAAAAAGTACCTACTGCCCGGACGTTTGCAGCAGGACTGGAAAGCATCACCGTTTTTCTGATGTCAAGTAGAGCTGGGAGAAATGCTGCAAGCATCTCAGTCTCAGAGCACTGCGGTGTGAGCCACACTGTTTCGGGGACTGTGACAGAACCAGCTAACAGCTGCCTGGGCCTAGAGCTCCAAGAAGCACAGTCCCGGGTGGCTGCGACTTTCAGAGAGCCACGGTCACAGGTTTGTCTGTGCTTTGTTTCATTATTTATTTATTGGTTATAATTTAATTACAACATTTCTCTCTTCCTTTCCTTGCTCTCAACCCTCTCATGTACCCCTTCCCTTCACACTCTCCTTCAAATTTATGGCCTCCTTACTCAGTAATTATTATCGCATGTGTGCATATGTACATACATACTAACTATAAACTGCTTGGTCCATTTGATATTGTTTGTAAGTATGTTTTCAGGACTTTGTGCTCTCAATACAGAGGTTTCTTTGATTTTTTTTCTAGTAAACTCTGATTGAAAAACCAATTACTAAAATAAATTTAAAGGTTTCACAAGGTCGGTTTTTAAGAGCACAATTTTGTTGAGATATATAACTCACAGACTATGAAATTCACTCAGGCAAAATACCCAGCTCAGCCTTCCTAACATCTGGGCACTGAGCGGCTTCTGTCGCCCTCTAATTGTGGAGCATTCTCATCACCTCGGAAGGAAACCAAGCATCATTAGGCATTCTCCCCGGGGCATCTACCTGAAAGCTTAGCTCGAGGCAATCGGATGTCTACTGTGATAACTGGAATGTATCCATTCAGTATGTTTTATCACAGTAGAAATAAACCGCATTCTTGGTTGCCAGGCGAGTTTCCTTCCTGGAAGACTGTGCTTCCAGGATTTCTGTACAATCTATCACTCATCAGTAGTACAAACTGTCTATGCCTGAGTCAGATTTTACTGTATGAGACAGCATTTAACTTATCCAGTCACCCTCTGACAAACACCAGAGCTGCTGACAGTCTTCAGGTATTGTGAATAACACTGGTAGGAGTATTTGTCACAGTTCTTAAGTGAATGGAAGCTGGGGTGTCTACGGGGTAGTAACCTAAGGATGGACTAGGATTTCAGGAAGACAGAAATGATGTCTAATGTCTTGAAGAACTCGTAAGCTGGTTTCCAAACATGTTGTATTATTTTACGTTCCTGTGACTCGTTTCTGAGAAGTAGAACTTCTACAGATCCTCGCCAGCAATTGTTATAGTAGAGGGCTCATTTTTGTGATTTGGGTTCCGTTTCTCTAATGGCAGCTGGCGTTGGTTATCTGCCATGTGCTTAGTGGCTACTTTTACATCTTCTAGGGAAGTATCTACTCAAATCCTTCGCCACTTTTAAAGTAGGTCTTTTTAAAAATTACTATTGAGTTTTGAGGATTATTTATACATTCAAATCTATGCATTTTATTGCCTCTATGATTTGTGAATATTTTCTCCTAATCCTGGAGACTTCAAAGCTTAAAGTCCAAACAGCAGCAATTGATTCAATATCAAAAACTGTAAATAAAGAGGATAGAATAGAAATGAAGTCTCACCCGTGCATTCATTCATTCACTCAATCAGAAAACACTTGCTACTAAGTTAGGAAGTAGCCTGACTATCACACATAGTGTACACTGGAAATATGCTATAGTTTTTGTTTTTAAACACTTTGCCTAGTGTCTTACTTTAAATTAACCAAATATGTAATTTACTGCTCACATGGAGTGCATAGACCCTTTTTAAAATAATCTACTTCTGTATCTCTTAGGCACCCTGGGAAGGATGCCATTACTTATAATTCCAGAATCTTCCATGAATGTGCAGTACAACAATCACCTCCATAGACAACAGTATGAAAAATGCTATTTCAATATAGTAAAGCCTCTACATTTGTTTTAAAACTGCTACTTGGTAACTCCACCTTATCCATCTGTACTTTAGCAGATGAAACAGACTCTCATGTTCAAAGTCAGGATTCCATTCATTGAGCCTCAAAATGTTTATGGACATAAAAGCAGGCATTTGTGCATTAAGGCATCACAAAACTACAGAAAATCTATGTGAACAACTCCAAAGTTGTCTATATTTTAGATAGTTCAGGATCCTTTTTTTCCATCTTTATTTATCCTTAAGCAAGGCAATTTCTACTGCAGTTGTCTCAAGGTTCTTACTGTCAATGAAGAACACTCATTTAAAGGAAGGATTGAAAATATTTAGCACATGCAACTTTCAAACAGACTGCCAGGCAGTAACGGTCTGTGAAGCTTGCCCCAGATTATTAGCAACAGTCAGAGAGCAATTATCAGGGATGCAGTTACTTCTGGATTTATAACATCCTACCTTCCTTCCATGACTTTTTCCAGTCAGTGCTTAGGGATCTAAGAATGACTAACATTGGAGTCCCTCCCGGCTTATAGCAGCCAGAGAGAAGAGATAAAATCAGAAAAGACAGAATACATTCCACATTCTTAGTAAAAGCTGAATGACCACAGGGAAAAACTTCCCTTTAAAATAGCTGGATGACTATGAAGGAAACAGTGAGGGAGAAATGGCAACTGCTTCATATTGGTCATGTGACCATGGAGGCTACAGTTGACACAGACTATAGGAGTCATAAGATTCCTTACCAAATTTGGTGACAGAAGTGACTGGAAGTGGAAAAGGACACCTGCATTTGCAATCTGGTCCAGCCACCTTCTACTGGCTTCCCAAGTCTCCATTTCATTTTCCTTGCTGTTGTCAAACATCTGGTTTAAGGCGGCCATGAGCTGCTCAGAGAAGGCGCAGACAGTGGCCACAAGACTTTGGCAGAAAACCATGTCTCTCCGGAGCTGGGTTTCACTATCTGATTGAAAAGAACACAAAGGAAGCTTTCAAAAGTTGCAGCAGGCAGGTGTAATGGCACAAACTTTTAATCCAAACACAGATCTCTGTGAGTTCAAGGCCAACCTGGTCTATTTGGTAAGTTCCAGGATAGCCAGGAATACAGAGAGACCCTGTCTCAAAATTACAATATAGAACAGAAAATGTTGCAGAGACCACCAGCAGCATGGCACAGTAACTGTAAGGGTGCAGTAGTAGCACACATACTTTGGCACTAACCAAATCTTAAATCTTAAACCAAAAGCTGAAATCTCTGGATTTAAGATCTACTCAGTCTGAAGGAAACCATGCTGTTACGAGAAACCTAGCCAACAATCCAGAACTAATGAAGTCATGGATCTTGGAGAACATAAAACCACCACCTTATTAAATCTATAGCCCTCACTACATTCTAAATATCCCATGTCCACAGATAAGTATAATATGAAGGAAACTTCTCTTTGCAACAGAGACCATTATAGAAAACCACAACCAATCAAAATGTCAAGAGCTCAGTCCCAATGAATACATCTATAAAACAACTCCAGCTTGGAAGACTTAGGAAACATTGTGGGAGAAGGGATTGATGTGATGAGGTCCTTCTGCATGCATTGCTTTTATTGGTTGATTAATAAAGCTGTTTGGGCAAGTGGCTTAGCAGAGCACATCCAGACTTGAAATTCGAACATACACACACACACACACACACACACACACACACACACACACACACATATATATATATATATATATATAGAGAGAGAGAGAGAGAGAGAGAGAGAGTAGGCAGAGTCAGAGAGATGCCATGTAGTTGCTGAAGGAAACAGACTTTGGAAACTTATGGGCAGACCACGACTCATGGTGATACTTAAATTAATAGAAATGGGCTAATTTAAGATGTAAGAGTGAGGCAGAAATATGCCTAAGCCATTGGCCAAACAGTGTTGTAATTTATATAATTTCTGTGTGATTATTCAGGTCTGAATCGCCAGGAAACAAATGAACAGTCTGCGTTTACAAGAGATAGAAAGATCCTAAGAGCCAGAGAATCAAGGAGTTGCTGTCAGATTCGAGCAATGTCAGAAACTACACCCAGAAAGTCTCACCAACATGACTGCCTCCACATGAGCTGAACAAAGGCACCAATAGGCATGCCAAAGATGATGGGGGAAACCAATGAGGCCTCAACCTTATGCAAAGAACTACAGACAACTAAGGAATGATGACAATAGGAGAAATAGTCCTTCCCATTGAAGATCACACCAATTGGCTATCCAATACCAAATGGTCAGCCCCCAAATTATGGACATAAGTAACAATATGTAGATTGAGAAACATTTATGTATTTAGGAATATACCTGCAGACACCTATACATATATATGTAACAACAACTAATGAAAAAAGAGTTCATGAATTTGAAAGGCAGCAAGGAGTATAGAGGAGAGTTTGGAGAGAGGAAAGAGAAGGGGAAAATGATGTAATTATAATTGCAAAATGAATATTGCTGAATGAAAATCATATATTTCTTGAGACAAGGTCTCTCTGTATAGCTTTGATTACCCTGGAACTCACTCTGTAGACCAGGCTAACCTTGACCTCATAGTGATCTACCTGCCTCTGCCTCCTAAGTGCTAGAGTTAAAGGTGTGCAATATTGCACTCAGCTTGAAAATGAACTATTAAGCATATACCAAGGGCTAGTGCTTAATTTGTTATCTTGAGAGGAAAGAGTAAAATGAGCTTCTTTAACAAAATAAATTAAATATGCTTTTATTAAGATTTAAAAATAAGCACATATCAAAATCATTTAAAGAAGTCTCCACACGTGGGGGTATGCTATGAAATGCTGTCCTCTGGACTTGACATGGTTATTGCACACAAGAGACTCACAGGAGGTGTGAACACATACATAAGACCTGCACAGACTTAAGCCAGTTCAAAATTCAAGCATGGAAGGGGAAAGGGCTTTCCAGACTCCATCTCTAGATGACAAGCTACTGGCAGCTGAAGGCTGTTGGGGACGAGAAAGACCCATTTTCAGGAGTGTGACCACTGGTAGGTTCTCTGTGACCTAGTAGATGACCCTGTACCCATATGCATATGGACAGCAGTATTTGAGTTGGTAGTCTAATAATAATAATAAGATAAGATAAGATAAACAATGAAGACATAAAATCAGGGAGAGGATGTGATCAGAGGTCCTGGGGAGCTGCAGTAGCAGATGAAGGGTCTATATGATCAAGGTACAATAGGTTTATCTATGAAAATTCCAAAGAATAAAACTTGAAATTAAAAAAATTCTTTCATATACACCATGAGTCTATTTTTACTAATTAATTTATTTTATAAAATCCTGAGGAAAATAAAAAAACTTTATATTTTTACCTTATATGATAAAATTTTTATTTGCTAAAAGACTCAAAGTTGAGTTGTATACTTTCTGCTGACTAACTCAATACTATTAATATTTTTAAAATAATCACCTTTGAAACCTACCCAAATATTAATACGAGTCAAGAAAGCATATTTGCTGACTAACTACTTGTACTAGTAAATAAATCTGCACCTTATGAATTACTCATTTAAATTTCTGAGTACTAAATATGTCTACATTTACAAGACTGGGGATGCCTATATTTCCCTTAATTTGCTAGTACATTTAATTTTAGCATAAATTGATTTTAATAGGTTTAGTAGAAGTATATCGGACTATGAGTGGATTTGGGTTAACTGACTTTGAAGGTATGATTTCTCTGTAGCCTGATTCTGCGGGAACTGCATATAAATGAATGACGGACATCCAGGATTCATTTGCCATCAGTGTAGACTCCAGTCTGACAAACATCACCTTCTATCTTCAGCATGGGCCGAAATTCATGTGCAGGAGAGGAACACAGGGAAAATAATCTCCCCAGCAAAGTGGGTTTGGGCTGAGTGCTTAAAGAACCTTGTGGAGTCAATACCTACTGCCAATAGTGGCTTAAAATATAAAGATAATTGACTTCTTCAACATCGAATTCTCATTTTATTGACAGAGACACAATTTTTAAGTCATTTACCAAGAACATTGAACATTTGTTTTTAATAACTATCAAAATCATGTTTCAATATAGTACAGTTGCTTTCTGTTAATTTTAATAGAAGGAACATTCACTTGTGACATTTTTCTTAAAAAATAGATCAAATATTAAAATATCCAATATGATATTTAGACTATTCCTCTTTTAGTTTGAACTACATGAGTGTTCTCCTTTGGCAGATCAAAGGGACTGAATATGCTAATTCCATAGATTCAATTTATTAATTTAACCAACCTGTGCATGCTAGATGACTTCCTTCAATAATTCTATACCATGCTCCTTGTGCTGCTAGATGGGAAAGACATCTGGCAGGTATCCATCCAACTTGAAAACTGGAATTAACCCTCCTCAACTCTCAAGAAAGAAGCAAACCACTGTGTTTTAAGTTGTGCAAATCTAACAGAGTGGGCATTCAACAAGTGCCTACTGAGTGAGTGACCAGAACCAACGAAGCCTGGGTGCTGACTCAAGAAGGAAAAGGTGTGAATTCATGCCCTGACCTCTTGGAATCCATGGAACTGAAATTCACAAAGCCTGAGAGCTCGAAAATGAAAATCGGAATGGCCCATCCCTCTCCTTTGACAGTCTAACTTTATTTTTAGGTGTCCTACAACAATATAGAAAACCTGGGTAAACTTTTAAAAATAGCAGCTGTTACAGGAATAGTCCCACCTATAACCCGGAAATAATTTAATAAAATAAAATTTGGAAGAAACTGCTGATATCAAAAGTAGGAAGCCATCATGTCGGGAGCAAAGGCTCTGGCTCCTGTATCACCATGAAGAGAATGCACAAGGGTTAATAACTGTACTGCTAGTAAAAATAATGTTGTTCAAAGTGCTTCTGAAGAGAAATTCTTCAATTTTATTTTTACATCTCCCTAATACTTAGACATGTCATGGCTTCTCTCTTACTATATGCATGTAAGTCAACTTTCCTTTAACTTGATCACAATTGAAAAGATCACAATTAACATTCATTAGTCTTTCTAACACAAAAGAAGTGTTGATAACTCTGCCAAATATACATCGTGCCTGCTCATGGATTCATTTTTAATATTGAATGTGCTGTGAGGATGAAGCTTAGTGTCAATTTTTGGGGTAGGAGAAGCTTCATTCACAGTCTTGGCCCCATTTCTAGCCATACTAAAATAACAGGAAGACATACATGAAAGACATCTTGGGCAACGGTGCTGTTTAAATTTTAAGCTAATGAAATTTTAAATTAAAGACACTTAATAAATGCTCATTGCTTTATGGAGTGACTGTCACCACTTAGCTATTGTGAGCAGGCTTGATGTGTATCCTGACTTGATATTGACAGTTCCTCAATGCCCCCTTCCCCTCCTTTCATCCACAATGCAACAAACCCCACACACATTAAATGCCCTGCTAAACGGCCTTATAGCCCATATTTTGTTCCCATGCCTCTTTAGTTTGAAGGATGAAGCACAAATTTTAACTCAGTGCTCATGACAGTGCATTGAAAGATTGTACCTCTTTGAATTATTGAAATACTGAAAATTGTGAAATTATCTCTGTCCCAGGAAACATGGTGAACTTATTTCTGCCATCATAGACCCAGGACATCTCTCTTCAAGATGGATAATTGATATCACTGTGAGAATCTGTTTCCCACTGGATCACTGGTGACTGGATCAAGATCGGAAGTCATATATCACCTGAATGATGATACCTAGACTTTAAAGGATATTGCATTCAGATAGTGTCTTAGGTCACAGGGTTTGAAGCTGGTCATATAACTCAGTAGTATAGTGCTTCCCAGACATGATCAAGAAAAAGGTTTTGGGTTCAATCCCCAGTACTGGAAGATAAAAAGAAACTAAGACAAGATTCATTTCTACTTCCTACCTCTTAGGTATCTAATAAAGACAAACAAGATTTTAAAAGCAAAATGCAGTCTAATAGGCTGACTGCCGCAACTACTCTTTTCTTAGCACCTAGCAGTGCTTGGCGCTGAATGGAAACCTGGTTGTGTTACTGAGCAGAGAAAGGACAGCATGATAAAGAAATGAACCAGCAAGCAAATACTCTTTTCTGTCAAGTTATGGAGCCATTCAAAATTCCCTAATGTCCTTCTGTACCAAATCTCTTCTCACTCCCCAGTCCCATTAAAAAAGAAGAAGAACTTCAGCAAGCATCTTAACAGTTGTTCCCAGCTTCTAGCAAAAGAATGGTCTATTTGACAGCTTGCTAATTATTTTGGTTGAGTAAGTTTTGTTTTTGTAGTAGGAATATATTTTAAAAAAACATTTGTTCTTATAAAAAAAGATTCAATTTCCTTTCAATACTTCAGTTCCTACTATACTCATCTTCTATAAACACCTAACAAATTCAAAACTTTAATAATCTTGGCTATTTAGAAGCCTAAGTCCCCTAATTTACTGCTCAAAAAAGACCACAGAAAGAGTTCGAGAGATACGTATAAATACTGATGGGCATTAGACTGACACAGAGATGGTGAGGGGAGGGGTAAGAAAAAACAAGCAAAGACATGAAAACAGAGACTTATCAGACTAGGAATGGTAGTAATGCTAGCGCTAGTCAATGCTCATTCCAGCTGTCATTCCAGCCCACAGCTGTCTTGAGGGGGAGAAGCAGTCTTCTCTACATAGGAACTCCAACACAGAGGGTGTAATGTAGTGCTCATGTATACAGTTCTTACATACACACACACACACACACACACAAACACACACACACTATTTGAAAAGCCCTAAAGGCCCAAAACCAGAGAAATAATTTTTATCTTTGGTTTCTAATAAATATGTAATATTTCCAAAAGGTTAACAAAAAGGGTTAAGTAGAACATTCAGCAGATATAGACTATTGTTTTCTAATGAAAAACATAATTTCACAGTCAAAATGATGGCATAATTTGACTATTGTTTAAATATCATCCCATGCATAAAAGGAAAGAGAGAGTGGAAACAATTGCAAAAAAAAAAAAAAAACCATAGATAGAAGAGAAAAATAAAAATAAGATAAAAAGAAGTTTCTGCCAGTTCGGTGTGATGTCACCTGCCTGTAATTCCAATCCACAGAAGGCTGAGGCAGGAGGACCCAGCTGGGGATGATGTCACCTGCCTCTAATCCTGGCCCACAGGAGGCTGGGCCAGGAAGATTCATAGTAAAAGACAAGCGTGGGCCATATCCTGAAGTTTGAGGCTATCTTGGGCTACTTGAGACCCTATCTCATAATAAACACACAAGCGCACACAAACATCACAACTGTCTGATGAAGCAGCCCTCTGAACACCGAAGAGAGTTGTGCAGTCCAGGATCACTTTTGGAACTGGTGAAACTGAATTTGAAATTCCAAAATGCCTTTTGGTGTTTCTTAAATTTACTTACTGGGGAGCATTTTTGGTGACCTCTCACGATATCCAAGATCCCAGTTGAATGAATACGATCTACTAATTATTATTATTCTTCCAAAACATACTTATTCTCCTTTAAACTATGGAAACAACAATAGTTGTCCCCAATGAAATTTTATAAATATTAATCTATGAAATTTATCTTTAGAATAGTTCAAAAAACATAAGATATTTTTGCTGTTGTTACTGTTATTAATCAAAGAACAATCAGTTAACCAAAAGTCCCTTCATTTGACTCTACTCATTTATTCATCATCAAAAATATCCAAGTTCAGTAGGCTCTAAAGTTGTCATAAATTACCCCCTACTGTAGCCATGTACTTGTAGTATAGTTTTGAGAGTTTTGCCTTCAAAAGAAAAATCCCAAGAGAAGTGTGACAGCATTTCCCTGATACACAAATGCTTGAGGCTGGGGAATCACTTCAGCTAAGGAGCTCAAGGCCTACTTGGAAAACTGAGTGAGAAGTTGGCTCTTAAATCTTAAAAAAGTAAATAAATAAATCGCAAGCCAGTAAAGGTGCTGGCTCCACCGCCGCGCTGGAACATGCTGCCGGGTGCCCTGGTGCGCAGACAATGCTAGCTCTTACACACATCTGCGAGTGTCTGCTTCTGGAATGCTGGCCATCACACCATGCTGTGCATGCAAACAGGGACTTCCTGACTGCTAGAGGAGCATTCTGCCGATGGAGCTACATTCTCAGACCATGGCTTTCTTACAACACCTATTTGATGGACTCTTGGGACAGCTGCTGCTTTAGGAATTTGTTGTTGATAAAAATAAGTAGTGTTGGCTTTGAAGAGGCTAACAACTTCCTATCTGTAATTCAGAGTTTGATGAAATGTTGATTGTCCTTTGGTGCCATTGCCAATCATGCTGCACTCCTACTAAATGCATGGGAGAGGTGCTTCAATGTAAGATCTGTAAAACATTTATATAAATCCCTGATCATCAACAATTAGATGGTTTCATGAGAAATTCCATACCCACACACCATCTATTCCCTTTAAGCTTTCTCCTTGTTTTAGTGAAAGGAGATATTGGTGTGCAAGTCAGGAGGAACCTGAGCCTATAATTCTCTTCCTTCTTTGGCTTACCTAATGCTGGGATTGCCTGCCTGTGCTTCCATGCCCAGCTTCTTCTTTCTCTTAGTAATGATATGGTTTTAATATGTGTTTATATGTATTTCTATATGTGCTTATAATCAAAAATGACCTTAAGCTTTTGTGCCCTTATAAAAACACTTAAATACATTTAAAAAAATCTTTCCAGTACTCTAGAGAAGGCAGGTGTCAGAGCCCCATTTCTCTCTAGGTGGCAGAAGGCATCGATTTTCTATTATAAGACCTTTATGATCCTGGCTACATTGCTTTAGGCAGTAAAAATAGGGCACAACATTACCTGAGTATTCAAGGAGAGCCAGCAGTATCCGACATTTCACCTCTGCAGAGAAAGAAAGCACATCTATTAGTTATCCACTGTGCTTCTGCAACTCACATGACCTTGTATCCTGGTAATAAAAATTACCATGACTTTTACTATATTAGGTAATCAAAATGCCATTTGCTTACCATTCTACTGTTGCCCATCTGCTTAGATAAAAACTATTAATTGCCCAAGACACTAGACTGTCTTTCAGTTCTGAATTACACAATAGAATACCATTCAAATAGTGCCCAATTCTAGTAAATTTTTGGCTACTTTAGCCGGAATGCTATTCCTGAACATATAAGCTGTGTTGCTAAGCTGTGAAAATAATGTTTGTTTCTACGACTAAAAACTTGAGATAAAAATGCATGTATATAAATTAATATACTCTACCATTCCATCCGGCACAGGGCCATCACAAATATTTGACAGGTATATAATAGTTTCATACTTATCACTGTGTCCATTGGCTTCCAATAGTAAAGAGTGACTTCTATGTAATAGAGATTATAGGATGGAGAGAAGTGTTACAAATCATTCTGTTCTATGCATTTAGGTGTCAACGAGAGGGGGTTGGCTAACTGATCAGAAATGCGGACAATACTCAAAGGGCAATGAAGTTTACAAACACGAGTGCAGAAACAAGAGGATTTCAGAGGCAAGAAAGTATACTCCGCTGAGAGCCAATTCATTATGCTCTAGCTTTGTGGTATCCAAAAACTTAAGAGTTATTGGTCTATCTCATTCATAGACGGTATTTATGTTTACAAAGGCCTATGTAGGAAAAATGAACAGGAAATATACTTAAGGTCTTGCAAGTCTTTTAAAGTGCTGTATTACACACATGAAGAGTGCCGTTACTGTAACCTAGAGCTGGCTGTAGCTGATAAAGAATGTGCAAGAACAAAACACTTCATAGAAATGTAAGTTTAGACCAGCAGGGAGAAGGGAGATATGTGAGAAGAGAGGTGACAGAGATATACAGCAGAAAATTAACAATATATCTCATTGTCTTGTTAAGACACTAAGATTGGGCCACAATTCTGAAGCTAAAGTGAAAGCTGGCTTATACCATTAGCTTGATGAGATTAGATTCATCTGAGAGCAAGTCACTACCAGGCTCTGGTGTCCGATAATGAGCCAATAAAAAGACATGTAAAAGAAAATCTGGTCATAGTGTGTATGAATCAGAAAACGTGGAGAAAAGGATAGAAAATTATCAAGGTAAGGTAAGTAAAAAATGGAAAAAAAGAGGCCTTATGATATTGAGACAAATTCAGGCAAAAAAAATAAAGAAAGAAAAAGTAAGTTTGTATGAGAAAAACATTAGAACTTTAAAAAGAATGATTTTTTTAAAGGAGAAGAGAAGAGAAAGCATCATCACTTACAAACCATGTGAAACATCCTCTCCTGGAAGGAGAGTGACGATTAAACTCTCAAGAAACTTAGTGGATTCAGAAAGCTCAGGGGAATTCAAAGACGCACAAAAGCCCTCCCATTGGTTGTGTTAACCAGCAGGAGGCTGCTTCAGACCTGTGCCAGGAACATACACAGTGATACACCCATCTGGAGCCATTACACAGGCTGGGGTGGGCTTTCGAGTGACATCCATAGGCCTGTGAGTTACCCTTCACCCATGCTCCTGTGAGCTACTCCTCACCCATGTTCCTCTGAGTTACTCCACATCCATGGTCCTGTGAGCTACCCCTCACCCATGCTCCTCTGAGCTACTCCTCACCCATGCCTAATAAACCCACTGGTTCACCAAGCTGGATTTGGATGAAATCTTTATTTATTCTGCCATTGCCCTATCTGGGGTTATGGGATGTTCTCTGTGTCTTCCTAGGAGAAGTCATGTAACACAAATTGAGCATAAATTTAAGGGGATGATGGAATCAAGCAAATATACCTTAATTTAGCTAGTAGCATGAGACCATGTTTAGCAGAAATATTAAGCAGGAGACAATTACCAGTTCTTTGACATATTAATCATTAAGTTCCCCATTGACATGCCTACCTTTTATTATCTGCTCCCTATTATCTGTTCATCAGGGTATGTGTAAATGAGGACATTGTCACCTAACACTGGACTAACATTTTGGCAATCCATCTTAGGTAAAGGTCAAGAGTCATGATGTTTTGATACCATATTTGACATAAATCTTAAATCAGGCATCAGGAAACATAAAAAATGGGAGCACTCCATTGACATACATAAAACACAAATTTCTAGCCAAGTATCAAGTTAAATTTACCGGTTCATATCTATGGGGCTACATCTATGACATCACTCCCCACAGTTTGTAAAGTAGGACGGAAATTACATGAACCCAAACGGAACAAAGTACAATGAACTGGGGAGGTTACTTGAGGGTGTTCCACATCACAACTGATTTAAAAGTAATGGCAGCGTCCCCTGTCCCTAGGACAGCCCAGTAGGCTGAAGCAGTAGAAGGTAAATAAACTGTTTTTCAAAGACTCACTGAACACACAATCTGAGTTCTCACCGAGAGTAACTTAGAAAAATAGCTAGAACTTAGTCTGCAAAATGTCTTTACCACGCTCGCCATTGACTATAAGATTCTTAGAACATATAGCCAGATTAAATCAGCTACCGGAGTCTCATGACCAAGGGTGGTACCAGTGTTTATAACATTAATCAATCAAAAGAACAAAGAAATAAACCAATGTTAGATAGGTAAGTACTAACTCTATGACTTCAAAATGTGCCTTGATGAACAAAGAACATAAAAACATAACAAGATAATAATGCAAGATTCTCAAATATTTTTTATTGAGCATTTGATTTATGTTAGAAATGTATATGTCAAAGATGAAATACTTTTACTAAAAAAGCAGTAAAACAAAGTTTTGGGAATATGTATACTTCTAATCAATACTGTACTTATTTGAAAAAAGTAGTTTAATCTATTTTTATCATTATCAAAACCTCAAAGATGGTGAGATCATTTGTGTGAATTTACAACTTCTGGAAGCATTATGCTACTGAGAGGAACTCTTCTGAGAAAATATGGCTTCCACTATGCAAAACACGTGCTTCAGCTTCCTAAAGTGTGTCTAAAACCTATTCATAATTTGAGACAATTTTGATTCAGACTTTTAATGGGATGTTATGTTTTCAAGGAAACTACAATATTAAGCCATAAAATTAAAATATAGTCAAGAAAATCATTTACAAATAACAAAACATTTCATCACTGAATAGTATCTGTGATTTATCTGGGGGCCTGCCATCTATCCATTTAAATGTCCTCTCAACTCAACTCAGTGTTCAAAGCTGCTGTATTTGTGTATATTTCCAATTTACCCTAAAATTGGAGTCACTAGAAGTATGCTAGAATCTTGCTGAATTTCATTTATTATATCTCAGTGACAAATGGCTACGAAATAAAGCTGTAAGCATGGGAAGGTCTGTTGTACACATTTCTCAAATTTAGCGCTGTCAATATTTGGGGCGGGGGAGATCCTTTGCTGTGACAGACTGTCCTGCGTGCGGAGTAGGCTCAGCTGCACTCCTGACCTCTACTCACGCGGTGCCAGTCATACACTTGCAGCTGGGACAATCAAGAACATCTCAAGACCTTTGGCCATGACCCTAGACTCTAAATTAGAGGTTGTGACAATTTCAGGATGACATGTAAATAATGTCCCGGCAGCCAGTGACCATCAGTCAAGGCCAGAACTTTAAAAACTAGTGATGCAGGTATGAAGTTAATTAGAATCCCATAGAGATACACAACAAACTTTTTAGGCTTCCTATAAAAATTAAGCTCCGTGTACTTTTAGTTAATTCCTTATAATTTTCTCATATTATTTCAAACTCCAAAGTCTTATGCTCACATGGTTTCAACTGTCTCCGCACACACCCTATTTCCTTCATTCAGAGTGCTCTTCATGATACACTCTGCAGTGCCTACAGGCTTATTCCTTCTCTAGCTCCTCCATTCCTTGTCCATTTCCTTCCTTTTATTCTATTCTGCATGGGAATCACTGCAGAAAGCATGGGCATCAGCAGACTTTGCTTTTCATACTGACCTTCAACAAACTTCCTGATGTTCTGGGCAAGCACCCGGACACTGTTGGGCAGATTCCAGGGGTCCTGTTTGAGGTGAAGTCTTAGTCTTTTAGGGCAACTCAGCTTTGCCTCCATTTCCTGCTGGAATTCTAAACAAATAGGAAAATCCCCTCATAAGACTCAGTCAATTCTCAGTTAAGCCTACTGGATTCAGAATTTGCTGCTTTGGTCCATTTTACTATTCTAGAATATTGTTAATAAATTTCCTTAGTGAAATTACAGCAGAAAGTGTATTAAATCTAAAATCCAGAGCCCAGTGTTATTTTATTATAGGGATTCCACCCAGGAAGCAAATATAGGCAGAATATATATGCCTATATACAGAAAGAGAGACAGGAGAAGGAGACAGTGCTATGCTCTGTGGTCAGGGGCCTGCCTGCCAATCCCACACTCCCAAAGCTTTTTCCCCTCCATGGGAAATGACCAGGTAGACATTACTGCAAAAGAAACTTAAGTCTTTTGTGTCTTTAATTTGTGTATTTTTGGTTTTGCCTCTAGAGGTATCAAATGCTTGAAACTTTCAAAGAAATATAAAAAGTTTATAAAAGTTAATATAGTGATTTTTAATATTTTCATGTATGAATCAAATAGAAGTAGAGTTGGATAATTATGGAACAAAAGCTCAAAATGTTGTCTTCTGCTGCAATATTTTTGCTTTGATATTTATTTCAAACATACCTTGTAATCCTCGACCTGGTGTGAGATGCTTGGTTTGATCAAAGGCCCTCACAACAGCTTGCCCTTTCAAGAGGTTGGTTATGGAGTCCATCTATCAAGGGTAAATTTCTGAGTGTTACAGACATCCAGAATACATAGTATATACTACATACACATACACACACACATATAAAACGTGTGCATGAAAATATCTTATAAAATACTTTTCTTAAATAAATGTTTTTGAGAGCCCACCAAGCTGGTGAAACCTATCTTCATGTAAAATATTATAATCATCTCACATTTTCACTTAAATGTTTCCAGTTATTCCTCATAATTTACAATAAATTGATAAAAAATGTACAAAATAAAAAATCTACTTCACAAAAGAAGTGAAAGCTCAAAAATATTCAAAAGCACAGAAATATTTTCAAAGTGCTAAAACCTCCAATACTACAAATTATTGTGATGATGATAAAACATTTCACAAAAGCGAGGTCTTAACATGAAAGGTCAGCAAATTGTGAAGTTTTCGAAACTAGAAATAACACTAAGTGAGGCGCCAGGAAGCATTCAGCCAGCCCGCCAATAGTCAAGATGGTTTCTCCTGTGTGTGTAGTTCTCTTATATTTGCCATATAGTTTTCTATAAAACACTTGGTAGGCACAAGTACCCTTTAGCTTGGTCGCTGGAGGAACGCATGTTTTAAAGCCAAGGAGGCCAAGAGACAGACTGCATTCCTCTTTCTAGCTCTTTGCATTACATCTCAAGGATTTCTGGCCTTTAACCTAGACAAAAGACCCACAACTGCCCCACCACACCTGGCTGAAAAGCTGCTCCAGGCAAGTGTGGATCTTGTCCTGTTTATCATGAGATATCCGGATGCTGATAGGAAGTTCATCACCTATATGAAAAAAATAAGCCAAAACCTTAATCTTATTTTTAACATGTTGAAATAGTATCTTATTTGATAAAATATGAGCAATTTAAAATGAGATCTTAGCCCATATCAGAAAAGGAATTGCATCAGGTTTCACACAGCAGAAAAGTCAGTTGGATCAAGCTGCTGAAACAGTCCAAAGCAATGCCCCTCATGGGAAGCATAAAGCATCAACATGTATTTTTCCTGACTTCTCTCTCCCAGTTGACTAAATGTAAGGTTCCCTTGGATGTACATGCCTTCGAAGAACACCCTCAGGCTGAAATGACTTCCCATGCCTCCACTCAAGCATCCATGCCCAGTGCGTTTGGTAAAAACTTATTTTTTCCATTGTGCCTATAATCCTTGACTATGAAGGGTAAGGTCAGAAGCCATATGTTAAATACGACTTTTAAATGCACTCTTCTTATAACTGGCATTTGGAAATTAGTTTTACAGTCACAATGCAATATGGTGGCCACTGAGAATGACTAATGGATCGAAGACATTAATGCCCCCTGTATAGGCATCTGTGATGTTACTAGCATCAAGAAGCACAAGCTGTCTACCACGCCCACCTGAGTCCATCTCATCACTGTGGAAGTAGGAGCTGCACTGGCTGCTGCAGATACTTGTGAAGGAGGCAATCGAGTTCCTGTTGCTATTGCAGTCACTGCAAAAAAAGAAAAAAAAAAGAGCCATATGTTGCTTTAAGAATATGTTTGCCCAGGTTGTACTCCAGTGTGATGGCAGGAGAGAGGAGCGGGAGCCAACTATGAGCAGAGCACAGGGCGATAGGAGAGAACGTCAGAGTGGAAGTCATAGTATGCTAATTAAAACTACAGTGAAAAGAATGCTTGCAACTTCCTTCTTATCACATAAATTTATGCCACAGATACCTTTATCAGTGTGTTCTATATAACGTTAAGAGAAAAGGAAACCTGTTCAACTCAGTTTTTCTGTTTCTAAGGACATTCTTGGAAATTCAAACATTTCAAATTTTCTTGTCAGATCATTAATTTCTAAGTGAATTTTTGAAAATGTCTGCCTTATTATCTGTTTAATAACAGTGCTCAGAGAAGTTTCTGACAAAGTCTAGTTTATTACTTCTCTTTTTCCTTTCTGGTCGTTTGTGTTATAGGTTGCTGGGGACACCTTGAAGTCCCCACAGCAGCGACCTCATCTGTCTCCATGGACGAACAACATAGCACTGGAAACTGCTAAAAATAAAGAATATCTGTGAAAAAAATGTTGTAGATGCTGTGTGATTATGAGGATAATTCAGATTTTAGAAACAGTGCCAGAGATTTTTTTTAACCTCTTAGAGTAAGGATAAGAACTTGATTTTAATCTACATTTAAAATTTCTATGGTAGTCCAGAGGGAGAATGTGGGGGTGTTTAAACTCTTTGATGACTAGAATGTGAGGCAGAGGTAATTTTAGAAATGTGGTTTCCCCAGGAGAGAAACTACAGGATGCTAGGATGGATCGCGCTGGTACGTTCAGATTGCCAGAACTAAATGATGTAATAAAGATGTTCAACTCATTATTAAATCTCCAGGAATAATTAACTTTGATGTGGTTGTTAAAATCCTCTTTGGAAAATAAAAATTAGGATGGCAGACTGTTTAAGCAAGAAGCCATGAAGCGAGACCCCTGGTTGCCAAGGTGAATATTTATCCTAACTCTATGGGTCTCTGCATCTTCATGTATTAAATGGAGCTACTATCAGAATCAGCCACTCCAGGTGACTGTAGGGGATTATTTTAAATTCTTCTGCTAAAACTATGCAACTGTTAATTACTAGTTTGGGATAACCCTACCTGACGAGAATAATTTTGATACAATTAACACTAACACAATGTTTTTCATTGGAAATACTATGGACAAGAGTGAACTTTTCCTTCAACTAATGTAATGTAATGTAAGTCAAACCAGAGATGCTGAAGCTGAATACACAGTGTATGGGGCCGGTTGTGAAAGTGCTCAGGTGAGAATCTTGGAGACAGGGTCCAGTGATGGAACTCCTCAGATGAACCCCTGAGCAGGAAGGAGTGCTGGACGAACTGTTTGCCCCAAATTCTGAAGTTGAAATCTAACACCTCAGTACCTCAAACATGTGACCAAATTGGAGGAGATAGCCTTCGAAAGGTCATTTTGAGGGGTTCTTAATCCAATATGACTGCTGCTCTACAAGAAGGGGATCTCTAGTGAGAGTTTACATGAGGACACAGCTGTGGGACAATGACAAGTGGAGGCCTGGAGTCGGCTCCTTCACTGTCCTCAGAAGGAACCAACACGGCCAACATCCTGGTCAGACTTCCGGGTGCCAGAGCTACGGTACAAATTCCGTCGTCCACGTCAGCCAGTCGGGGCACTTTATGCTATCAGTCATGGCTAACTACTACAGCAACAGTCCCTAGAGGAAACAAACACAAAGCTGGACATGGAAGTTCAATATATAACAAAGACAAGGGAAACAGGGTGAAAAGGACTGCTCTTTGCTAGCTAATAAATCACAATCAGAAGGACATTTTGGACAATTGCTATTACATGGTTACACAATCAGTCTGTAAGAACAACTCTTGCTCAACAGGGCCACACTGCTAGAGGGAAGAAAAATCCAGATCACTAATGAGAACAACTTTAAAGACAATGCTGTCCTGCTGGAACTGGTGGTTATCTTGAAACAGCAGTAAACAAAATCAACAATCAACATTTATTTTCAAGACGTTTGAAGAGGACATAAAATCTCACTTGAGTTTGCTGGGGAAATGAGAGGAATTCCATTTCAAGGAATGGCTCACCTGTAGGAGTCTCTGTTGCTGACGGTATCGTGGCCTGAGTCCTCTTGCTCATCCCCTGCTATGTTGAAGCAGACGCGTTTGCTGTTTCTCTCTCCTTTGTCGTTGTCGCTGTCGGGTGGTAGCACACCCTCTGTTGTCTTGCGCTCCAACTTAGGGGAATACGTTATTGAAGACAGAAGGCTGCACAATGTGACATGTTTAAAGAACATAAGTGCGTGTTTTGAAACTAGCTCAAACAGATAACTCTTTCATTTGTTAAATGTGATAGGCTTACAAATATTTCCAGAACGCTTCTGTGTTTCATGCCAAATAAATAGTATCTCTGTAAAGTGTGTGTCATAGAACGTCTGGCTTTATTGCTGAGAAGGAACAGAGAGAGCGGCACCAATCAAACACAAAGGCTGTATCCAATCCTGCATCAGCACCAATCAAACACAAAGGCTGTATCCAATCCTGAGACTCCAAAGTCTCAGTTAAGGAAACTGAGTGGTCAGGAATGTCTCCAAGCTAATAATTCACAAGGTCTTTGTGAAGGCTATAAAATCAGCAAAGGAGAGCTGGAGAGAGGATACTCTTCAATGAAGCTGTTTCCAAGCTTTGGGGGAGTTCAAGGATGCAGCTTTTGTGAGTCATCACCCCATGCCAGGATGGGCCTTTTAGTGATGCAGTTCAAATCATCCATGCTCTATACAATACTTTCATGCACACACCCCCATTAAGTAGCCCCCCCCCCAAATTCATTCTTTAATCAAGCTAGACTTGAGAGGAATCAGCTTTTTGGTATGCCATTAATGCCATATCGGGAGTTCTGATGCTGGTTCCTGCCTCACCAGGAAAGGTCATACAAGGAACTAACAACCACAAGTATTAACCAACCTTTAACATCCTCCCTGGCTCATCCTCCTACCCTGAAGATCAGGCTGCCACTCTGACTTCTTCCTCTAGCATTATCTGTTTGATAGAGGTAATGCACGCCATTAATCTCTACTGTCTGTTCTAACAGGCAGGAGCCCTGCATGGATTAGCTTAAAGATACTGAGCAGGGTGACCATCAACATAAGGCTAAAAGGAGGAAGGAGCCACTTGCACTGCCAAGTCAGGATGAAATGCTCAAGGCTGCCCAAAGGGTTTTCTTCAACTGAGCTCAAGGGTATAATACCTTGAGTTGGTGTAAACCTGGCGAAGACTGAGTAGTTACAATTCTACGGCTGGAAGGCTGAGTATGTGATGCTTCTGATAGAACCATCTAACTTAAAATTACACAAACGTAAACATGGATTTTATTATCAAATAGCATGCTACAAACTTGCAAGATAAATTCAAACTATACCTGAACTAATGGCCTATAGATGATTTTCTTTTAGCTAATAATCATGGTCATAAATATAAAATACCTATGGCACTCAGTTCCAACCAATTGCACATTATTCATATACTCATTTGTTCATAACAAACAAGCAATCCTTTTTGGGTATTTCAAAATAACAACGCTCATACCTCTTATACATATTTTACATGGGATATCAAAGCCAATGCTGTACATTGAGTAAATCCAAAGTAAGGGATTTCACTGGTTAAAAACATGTTTTGTTCTTAATACTGCAAATGTAGTATTCAAAACCACACAAAAGCCTCTGCCTTGTTGGAGTATCAATTTCCCTGGGAGGAAGTAACAAAGGGCAAGCTTTATAGGTCATGGGATGGTGACAAATGGAAAGTTCTAGAAGATAAACAGAAGAAAGGCAGGTGCTGGGCGTGGGCGTGGCTTAACGGTAGAGCTCCTGCTCATGTAGCGGGTTCATGTCCCACTAGATTCGACTTAGAGCTACAATTTCACAGTTTTGTCGAGGAAGCTCTCACTGTGAGGTGAAACTTGAATAATGCGTGGCATTGGAGAGCTTTTAGACACCAGAGAAAACCTGAGAGTTCCATTGCTCAAGACTCTGAACATTTCCAGTAACCCAAAGTGATGAATTCTCTTAAAGACAGTTTCTCTGTTTGGGAAGATATTCCTAGGTCTTGTAAGACAGACTGCACATTTATTCACTCCTTTCCCCCAAAAGATGAAACAGTTAGACTAACCCCAATTACTCAAGCAGAGACAGAAGAGCCCTGCATACCAAGGACAAAAGGCACGCAGGAGCTCCCATCTCGCAGGGAGCCCTCTGTGCTTGTGGGTATTTTAAATTAGAAGTCATGGGGCTGCGCATAAACAGTTTTCTCACAGTAATAAGAATTGTATTCACATTTTAAGCAATTGCAATGTACTTGTACTGGCCCTCTGGGAATGAGTGCTTAGGTTTACAAACAAAACAAATGATGGGGGAAATCGCATGCATAACATTTCTAGATTCTGAGAAGCACCAATAAAGCATATAATTTTTGTGTGTAGGCAAAAAATGCTTTCCTTTGCTTTTGCTCATTGAGAACATGCATCTAGCCACCAAAGGCCCTATTAATTAAATCCTGAGCAGAATCATACTCCAGAACAGTTTTCTTTGGATTAAACACTGATTGGTAACAACTTCTGTGCACACTATAACTCACCTACCTGTGTTACAAAATACCAGCATCATAGTGTTTGTTGGTTCTTATAGTAGACATGGTAAATATGATAAATATCAAAAAATTTAAATCTAAAGTCTACCTTATACAGTAGGCATTAACCCTATTTTAGCTGGAGCAGGGGGTGAGAGACATATACTATCAAAAACATACACAATGCAAATTGAATAGAATTTACTGTCTCTGCATATGTCTTCCAAGCTGGAGAGGATGGACAGTCACCAAGGCACATATCCAAGTGGGAGACACTGTCCTAGTCCTCCGAGGACAGGCAAATCTATGTGAATTGCTTTAGCTAATGTCAGATGACTGGGTGTGGTGTGTGTTACTGACAGCAGAATCCTATATGCTTGTGTAAAATCACCTTATTCCTTTCTCTTGCATAAGAACCCGTAGCATTCTAGTAAAATGCGCACCTGCCTGCTCCTCCGAGTGAGGACAATGGCCCAAGGTGGATATGAAGAATGAGTAAAGAAAGCCTTGGTTCTTGAGATCTGTGAGAATTTCAGCGTTCCTTTGAACCATACGGGGAGGGGGACACAACACAAAAGTGGTGTGTGGAAACCTGATGTCAGAGAAAGGCTGGAGTGTCTAGAGACGAGGAGCTTCTACTTTCTTTTTGTGGATCTCTCTTAGCCTGACTCTTGAAAGTCCAAGTGGTTGTCTGGCCATGCAGACCTTCTCAGAAGCAGTGCCCACCAGGCAGAACACCTTCATATAGGACTATAGTTGTCATTTTCCAAGGATAAAAATGGAGTAGAGAAGCTGGAGGTCAGTGAGACACACGTGGGACAGATGAGGCAGAAATTTACAGGCTGGAAAAAATGGATTTGATCCTATAGTCTGCTATCTGGGTCTGTGTGTTTGTGAACTCTATCAACAACCATAGATTAAAAATATGGCGAAAAAGCATTCTTCCTGCATTGTATATGTGCAACATTTTCCCGACATTATTCCCTGAACAGTACAGTATCATAACTATTTACTTAGAATTTGTATTGTAATAAATATTATAAGGAATTTGAAGTAATTTAATATACAAAAGAATAAGTATGTTATATACAAGTACTTTCCATTTTATGTAAGAAATGAGAACATCTTGAGATTTTGGTATCTGTTGGGAGCTTTGGGTACCATCTCTATTGGATATCAAGTGATAAATGTAATTTAAACTACAAGGTAATGCTGCTTATGGTTTTAGGAGAGGACCAGATCGACTGATCACACTGGATCTCTCCAGCATCTGTGAATGTAGAAAGAGGCTCAGCCGGGCAACTCTCCAGCGACACCAGAGAGGGATGAAGGTGACTCAGTATAAAGCGACATTCAGGGACATATTCAGAGGTATAACTAACATGCCTAATGAGGTACTATAAGTGGAGAAAAATAAAAGACGGACAAAGACAAAGGTAGTATTTAAATTCTGACTTGATGAATTGAAAAGTTGGAAAACACTTTGTTGTTGAGAGAAGCCTTGGTAGGTAAAGGGGTGAGAAGGGTTAAGTATAAGAAAACTACAATACAGTCTTAGAAGTGTTTAATTATAAGTAACTTAGAGATGTCTTTCCACCCAACGATCACAAATTACTACGATAATGAAGTATGTCAGTGAGTATAAAAGTGCAATGTATCCTTTCCAGGAGCACTTGGAAAGATTTTTAAGTAGGTATGCTTCTGTCTGTAAATTTACAAATGAAATGCTTCAAACATAACTCCCACAACAACACTGCAACCCCAGGGACCAACTTTGCTGCCATATAGTAACTCATCACTCAATCTTGGGATAGCTGACACTTGCAGAACAAGGCTTCTTCTCCAGGTTCCCATCCTTACCATGGAATGCCCATGCTCTCCCCATTTGCTCTGTGCTATGCAGAATACAGTGCCTCTCTATTTTCAACTACCATCAAGAATTTAGAACCACCTGTGAATTGTCAAGAATTTAGAACCACCTGTGAATTGTTTTAACAACTCAGTTAAAGGCAAAACTCATTCAGCTTCCCAGTGTGCAACAGAAACCAAGAAGCTCTCATCAAATCGGCCCTTCTGTCATGTTACAGCAAAGAAAATTCATCTCATTTACATCTACAGATCTGAAACTAAGTAGAAGGATTAAGTAAAATGTCTATGTGATAGAAAAATTGATTTCTAGAAGTGATTGGATGATAGGGTATGCAGTTATCAAAGTAAGACAACCACATTGGCAGGTCGTGTAGGAATGAATGACTTCTAGGAAGACTGGCTATGGGATCTTATGAGGCAATTTCACTATTATTATCACAGCATCTGCTTCTTCACCCTGACCAAGGATAATTATCACGTGGTGAGAAGATGATCCGGTAACGAGTCTTTTAAATAACTTGTTAAGCTCGAATTGCATGGCAGCATCTCTGAATTCTAAGAGCAATGGGGAACGCAGGCATTTGGACAACTGTATTGTTTTAAAGAGATTATGCTGCAAATCAAATCATGTGGAAGATGTTTATATTTAGAATTAAATTACAGGCTGTTCATGAGGAAGACCAAATTCACTTCTCCAGCCATTGTTCATGTCTTGTTGCTTTTCGAATAAGCACACAGAACTGGCAAAGGCTTGCACAATAGCAGAATGGGGA